TTTGAGGTTTTTGCGATTTACTCCGAGATTTTGATTACTCAATTCTGATTGGCTGAAAGTAAGTTAAAGTTAATTTCAAGCATTCGGTCCTTCAAGCATGAGGGACGCCACCCTTCCCGCATCGAGCGCTCATTGATAATAATCGATTATACTGTCATTATATCGTACAACTACAAAATAATCGATTATAATTAATTAAAAATGAAATATAAAATTATCATTTTTTTGCAAATATTTTCCATTATAATCTATTAAAATCCATTAAAAGTGGATTATAATCCTAATATTTTTCATGCCTTTACACTCTATTATAATCGATTAACATGGATTTTTTTGACAAGTTATTCATGAAATTTCCAGTTTTTTTCCAGATATTACGAGGCCAAACTGTGCACTGGCCAAACTAAGCACAATCTTGTGTCAGTATAATCCTGGATTCCAGAGAAAAATCTGTAAACATGTCAGAATTTTGTTGGAACGATCAAGAAGAATAATAGAACAAAAAAAAGATTAAAGGGAGATTATAATGGATTATAATGGATAATACTTAATATTTATTTCAAAAAAATTCAATTAGTATGGATGATTTTGCCAAAAATAATCGATTTTAGTACCAATGATTATTCGAGTTACCTAATTTTGAGTTAAACAGCAGAAATGAAATGCTTCCGAGTTCAATATTTCCCCTTTTTTTAATGTTCGGAACAAAAATAGTTTCATTTGGCTTTTCTGCAAACAAAAAACACAAAAATTTCTCACGAAAGACGAAGACAATGAACTATAAATACTTACCGATTTTGACAGACTTTTTCAAAAAGAGCATTCTGCCAATCAAAAACATTTTGATTTATTGGGCTCTCTTAACACAAACTTTGTCTGAAAAACAGTTTTGGTATAATTTTTTTTCTGAAATAGTCATCCTCTCTTTTAACTGATTTCTGGTTGTATCTCTTTAAAACAGTCGCTTCTGTCACTTCATACAGTTGTTCAGTTGATAAGAAGAGTTCAAGAGTATGAAATCTAATTTGTTGGGTTATTTTGCAAAGCAGTTTATGCCATCAAAAATTTTTGAAAAATTTTTGAAACACAAAATTTTTGAATTCAGGCTCAAATAGAAAAAAATCAAAAAAACTGCAAAAAAGTAATTGAACATTCTTGTTTAGTTACAACAAGAGTAGTCGAAAGAATTGTCTGAGAAAAAATATTTAAAAAAACAGAAAACTAATGAAATTTTAGTTTTTGTTGCTGTTTTCATGGAACTGAAAAGCATTAAACTCCAATTTAAACAACAAATACTTCAACAAAACAATAAAAACACATAGTGGATTTTTCTTCATTTCATCTCACATCCACTGATTTTCTGAGAGACATTTCAAAGCTGCCTAATTTCTTTGAATTCTTTGATAAGATTTTAAATTAAGAAAATTTTTTAGGCTGATACTGATGGTATCAATTTTAAAGTGTTAAAATTTGAGTCGTGTATGGAATTAGAAAGATTAAAAAACAACGTAATTCAATTCCAATGGGATTGGATTTGTATTGCGGTATAGTTTGCCTCGTGTAAAAAATAAACCGAGCAGTTTCGACAGAGTCTTGGTAGGATACTTTTTTGGTGTGGTTACCCAGCCGGGCACATGCAGATCAATGGATCGATCCCTTTTCGGAAATTGGTCCGAATAAAATGAAACACCCCGAGCATATATATTCTTCAATTTTTTCGTAAGTCGGAACAAAAAGTGTGGTATAATTCTGATTTTGAATAGACTCGTATCAGCACACACACACACACACACACGCACACGCACACGCACACACACAAAATTTGTTAAAAGTTTCTTCTTCTGTTTCACTCAGCTCCAGTCAAACTCCAGTTTATCTTCTATATCCTAACTAAATTGATTTTGCATAGAAAAATGTGAAAACATCTTGAATACAACATAATTGTTCCGACTTTCGAAGAAAACGGAATGTTTATGCTCCGTGTGGTTTTTTATTCAGTCAATTTTCGCCCATCGAAACATTAGTTTTCAAAAAAAAATTATGCCCATTGAAGATATGAACTTCCTGAGTTCAAATATAAAAAGATATTTTACCTCTTATCTTTTTGTAGAGTTCTGGTGGTTTGAAATTTACCAAATTGGTCATTTTCTGGACTAAATTATGCGCGCTTTGGAGAGTTTGCTCATAATGCTGAGAGCTTAACGCGAATTCTTTTTTACGAGTGGCAAATTATCTCGCACAACAAAATCGTTCCAAATGGAATTGAGGCTAGCTAATTGGTCGTATTAAATTTTTTCGACTCCAATTTTTACATTTTGATTTTGTCCAAAATTTATAAATTTTCAATATTTTCTTTTTTGAAAAGCTATTTGATATGAATTAAGGAACAGTCAGAACCTTCAAGGTTTTGCCCTGTTATACGAGCAGTCGTGTTATTTCTTTCTATAAGTTGGACTGTTGCAACTTTTGACTTTTTAACTCTGCTTTTTTCACTAACCATCTGAAAAATATTGTTTTTTTTGTAGCTCAAATTGAAAAAGATTTTTTTTTATCTGTGTTTTTTTTCAATGTTATGGGGATTCAAAACTACTAACTTTTGCAATATGGGACAATTAGTTTGCGATATATTGCATTCTGATATATTACACGCGTAAGCGGCGTATTAAAACGTTCCAAATTGAATTGAGGCTATTCATTTGGCCGTTTTAATAAGATAAAAAAACCCATAAACAGTCATTTATAGTTCACATAAGCATATAGGTTGGGTAAGCTTAAAAAAATGGGAAAAATAGCTTTTTTCAACTTTTTTGAAAGTTGCGTCAATTTTCAAACAAAAAACTCTAACATGATCTTAAAGTTCAGTCAGAACCTACAGGTCTTAGACCTGATATACGAGCAGTCCTGTTATTTTCTGTTGCGCGATACCAACATGATAAAACATGAGGAGCAATTTTCTCACTGTACAGATTAATTTCTTCACCCTGCAAATTTTATTGCAGGATAACTGCTTTTCAGTAGGCTTTAAAAATCAAAACTCAATTTCAGGTGGCATTTGAAAACACCTGGGCTCTCGTTTTTTCTCCCCCACCCCTTTTGCTTTACAAATAATTAAAAAATCAAACCAACTCTGTTTTTGAAAAAATAATCATTGTTCAAGGATGATTCAGCAGTAGATGTGCTTAATTGTGATGTTTAAGTCCGATTTCATCTCTGATCAGAGTTAAAATGGCACTGAAATTCAATTTTATGACAACTCAAGCATACCGATTCCTACTATGAGAAGTATGAGGCGAGCCAAGCCATGGCCCACTCATTAAAATCACCCTCCAGAATAGAGGAGGGTCTTACCTCGATCTGATAATCATACGGACAAGTCAGATTTGTGAAATCACTCGTTAAAATGATAAGAATGATACTCCATGAACCCATAAACAAATCTACTGCGCTCCTGGGGCTGGATCTACATTTATTTTGAATAGACTGGGGGAGGGGGTGGGGTAGGAAAAATAGAAAAGAGACGAGAACACGAACATTGCAAAAATACAAATCACAACTTAATGTGATTTAAAAGCTTTAAAAACTGGAAGTTTGATTGCTAGAAAGGGTAACAAAATCTGACTTAAGTCATTTAAAAACGCATTTAGTGTTTAGTATTTCAGCAAAATCAAAGAAGGGACGGGAGAGGAGTCAAGAACTTAGTTCCTCCTTGCCGTATTACGACAAAAAACAACTGGGTTTTAAAATCCAGGAAAAACAGGAACAAGCAGTCATATTAAACTTTGTCGACCTTTTTTTTAGGTCAACAAAACTGATTTTCTGAGCTCGGCTCTTTTTCCTTTCCCCCCACCTCACTCAAACATGAATTTTATGGTGTAACGAGTGGTTTTACAAGGTTAATTATGAAGACCAAATATACTCGTTATGGTCTAATTAGACTGCATGTCAAATTTCACGACAATCAGACAAAGTGAACAGTAATTTCAATTATAAAAAGTTGCAGGTGAGGGGAAAAGGAAAAGAGCTAAAATCACTACAAAGACCCTTTCTTTCTGCAAATTTGAGAAAAAACAGGCCAAAAAAGGCGTTTTTTTTTGCACTTTTGGAAAATTTTGACCAAAAAATCGCGTTTTTGTGCGCGTGCTCCCCCCTCCCAAAAAAATTAGTTTAGATTGGCACCGAGGGCGCATTTAGAAAATTTTCAAGGTCAGTCGGCCAAAA